GGAGATAGGGAGTAGAATTGTATAACCTCTATAATATTTATTCAACAGTTGAATAACAGTTGATAGAGTATTGTAGAAATTTAGAGTTTTAGTAATTTTGTAATTAACATATGTAGATCAAACGTAGTTTTATAGTTAAATATTTAAATATATATAAATATTTTATATATATTATTGGTACCCTTTTGTATTGTTTGTAATTGGGCTGGTGATATACCGAATAAACTGAACTGAGTCCAAGGCGGCCACCCCGGAGGAGGGAGAACATTTTGCCTCGCCCCCCCTCCCGTGGGAGCATATGCCTGCCTTTCCAAAGGAGCCCGGCTGTCTTCGGAGGAAGTACCTGGGCGGGAAGGGGCAGCGGACTCCGCTTGGAGACCTCGGGCTGGCTCCATGGAGCCAGGAGATGGGGAGCATCTGAGCGTTCTGGAGAAAGCCCAGCGCTTTCTTCAGAGGAGGGCGCTGGAGGGGGAAAGAAGGGACTAAAGGAGGCACTGCTCGGAAACCTCGGAGGCTCTCCGCCAGTCCCCCGGCTTTTGGCGGGTGCGGGTGCAGTTTGGCGCCTTTTGGCACTGACTGGTTGGTTCTAGGGTGCCAAACTGCACCCGCCCCCGCCAAAAACCCTGCATCTCCCTGACCACCCCCGCTGCCTCTTTCTCCCTGAGTCCGGCAAGCAGCGCTTGCTGGACTTGGGGAGAAAAAGGCGGCAGCAGCAGTCAGGAAGATACAGGGCTTTTGGTGGGGGCTGGGGGGCTTTGGGGGGGAGCCTGTTTGGCGCCCTCAGGGCCGGCCCGCACTCTGTGCGAATGCCTAGTTCGCCTCGCGGGTGAGCCAGCCCTGGGTTCTTGATAACAATCAATGCTCCCTCTAAGCTGTGGAGCCTTGTGAGCAGAAATTCTACTTTGACAGCTCCTGGCATTAAAGTTGTGAGCGAGCGATTGGGCTGCTGATAACAATATGGGGGTGTGTGTTGAAAAGATTATTCTGAAAGGACAGCCGACCTGGGGAGTCTCCGCAGGGCTTTACGTAGGATGTTCCAGTCACTGCAACGGTTTTTGAAGCCGACTCACCCCCAGTGAGGCTTTTGATTCTGCCGTGGCTGAGGAAAGACCGGAGTGCCACAGGACTGAACAAGAGGTTGTCCAGATGGTGGGTCCAAATGGAACTGACAGATCCTGGCGGATTAAATAGCGAGTGGGGAGCCAGCCAAGTGGGGAGAAGGAGGGGCAAAGAAAAGGCTTTGTCTTTTTTCTCTTAACATATTTGTTTTATTTATTTATTTATTTATTTGATTTTTATCCCGCCCTCCCGCCGAAGCGGCTCAGGGCGGCGTACAACAATAAAATAGTAAAACAGTCTATACAGACATTAAAATCACAATTTACATTCAGTATAACCTACTCAGGATGGCGACTATAAAGTGCTACATACTCAATCCAAGTTGTCAAATGCTTGGCGGAATAACTCCGTCTTCACCGCTCTCCGGAACTGGTAAAGATCCCGGAGGGCGCGGATCTCGTGGGGGAGCTGGTTCCATAATGCAGGGGCTACCACGGAGAACGCCCTAGTTCTGGTAGATGTTAGTTTGGCGTCTCTGGGGCCAGGGAGGACTAATCGGTCTTGTGACTCAGATCTCAGTGCTCTCGGGGGAACATACGGGGAAAGGCAGTCCCGCAGGTAGACAGGCCCCAGACCATAAAGGGCTTTAAAGGTCATCACCAGCACCTTGAAGCGTATCCGGAACGCTATTGGCAGCCAGTGCAGCATCCTCAGCACCGGCTGGATGTGTTTCCTCACAGAGGCACCCACCAACAGCCTGGCTGCGGCATTCTGCACCAGCTGCAGCTTCCGAAGTTGCCCCAAGGGCAGCCCCATGTAGAGAGCATTGCAGTAGTCCAATCTCGAGGTGACCATCGTGTGGATCACTGACGCCAGATCCTTGCGTTCGAGGAAGGGGACCAACGGCCTAATCAGCCGTAGGTGGTAAAAGGCTGCCTTGGCAGTGGCTGCTACCTGGGCCTCCATCGTCAATGAAGCATCCAGGAGCACTCCCAAACTCCTGACCCTCGGAGCTGGCACCAATGGCGCCCCACCGAAGGCCGGAAGTGGGAGCCCTAACCCCGTACCGCTTCAATTCAGGCATAGGACCTCCGTCTTCGTCGGATTTAGTTTCAGTCGACTCCGTCTAAGTCAGTCTGCTACGTCCTGCAACGCCCGATCCAGATTTTCCAGGTTAGAGCCAGACTGGCCACACAACAACAGATAGAGCTGGGTGTCATCGGCATATTGATGACAACCCAGCCCATACCTCCGGGCAATCTGGGCAAGGGGGCGCATGTAGATGTTAAACAACATCGGCGAGAGCACAGTTCCCTGTGGCACTCCACATTCTAGTGGGTACCTCTGGGATGTACTCTCGCCGAGTGCCACCCTTTGTCCCCGACCTTGGAGAAAGGAGAGGAGCCACTGCAAGGCAAGTCCCCGAATCCCCACGTCGGCGAGGCGGTGGGCGAGCAACTGGTGATCGACCATGTCGAACGCCGCCGACAGGTCCAGGTCCAACAGCAGAAGCACCGCCGTCCCGCCCCGATCCAGATGCCTACGGAGGTCATCCGTGAGGGCCACAAGTACTGTCTCAGTCCCGTGGCCCGGGCGGAAGCCGGACTGAAACGGATCTAGCGCGGAGGTGTCATCCAGAAAGGCCTGCAGCCGTGCCGCCACCGCCCTCTCTATTACTTTGCCTAAATAAGGCAAATTGGACACCAGCCGATAGTTGGCCAAATCGGCCGGGTCCAGTGTTGGTTTTTT